ATCAGCTGCGGGCTGAGACTTGGCCAACATCGCGGTGCAGCGAATCAAGCGGGAGTTCAAGGAGGTGCTGAAGAGCGAGGAGAAGAGCAAAAATCAAATTAAAGTAGATCTTGTAGATGAGAATTTTACAGAATTAAGAGGAGAAATAGCAGGACCTCCAGACACACCATATGAAGGAGGAAGATATCAACTACAGATCAAAATACCAGAAAAATATCCATTTAACCCCCCTAAGATCCGGTTTATCACTAAAATATGGCACCCTAATATTGGTACCATCACAGGGGCTATTTGTTTGGATATCTTGAAAGATCAATGGGCAGCAGCAATGACTCTTCGCACGGTGTTATTGTCATTGCAAGCACTATTGGCAGCTGCAGAGCCGGATGATCCACAGGATGCAGTAGTAGCAAATCAGTACAAACAAAATCCTGAAATGTTCAAACAGACAGCTCGACTTTGGGCACACGTGTATGCCGGAGCACCAGTTTCTAGTCCAGAATACACCAAAAAAATAGAAAACCTATGTGCTATGGGCTTTGACAGGAATGCAGTAATAGTGGCCTTGTCTTCAAACTCTTGGGATGTAGAGACTGCAACAGAATTGCTGCTGAGTAACTGAGGCCTAGAAAGAGCTGCTGATAGTCAAGCTTGCCTCTTCTCCAGGAGCATCAACATCTGTTATTTTTAGGATTCTGCATAGATTTCTTTTAAACTGGCATTCTTGCCTAAGGATGTTATCTAGGCAACCACTGGAGACTGAAAAAAAAAATCCCTGCTCTGTAAATAAAGCTAATTAAACATCTGCGTAAATTTAAAAAGGGAAAAAACTTTAAATTTTTTCCTAACTAAAAAGGGAAAAAATTCTTCGAGCTAAGCTAAAACCATGGAAAAAACATACTACTTTAGTGTTTAGCAGTGTAACAAGACTAGCAAGAGTTTGCTTCAGGATTTTGTTGAATAATTAAGATAATATTTTGAGTGTGTCAGGGCCATTCAAGTTGTTGGTGTTGCATCACAGCTACCTTAACTGTTTTTAACATGGATCCTCTGTGCCTGTGAATTTACTTGCATGCTTGTACTTGACTTCTTAGGATGGGTAGCTGAAAAGACCACCATTTTAAGCACTAGAAAATTCATAAATAAGAGATTTATCCAGAAATGAAGATAGTGACCTATTCAGAGCCTTTTTGTCCCAGTTGAGAGGTTGGGGCACTGTATCTTCTTTTCCCATAACACACACAGTTAATCATTTAATGGTAGATTTCTCTGTATTTGGTGGGGAAATGTGCCAAGCAAAGTATCCCGACTCCCTTTTTAGATCTAGGGTTTGGAATGTTTTGTCATAATTCTTTAAACACTCAAAGTTTTCCAGTGGAAGTAAGTAATGTAAGAATGGAGCTGCCAATATTATTTCTCTTGCAAAAACAGTAAATACTTTGATGTTGCAGTATTCCCACATGAAATGAAAAGAACCCGACTAAGTTTTGCAATGAATTTGACATGGATTTTTAATGTGATAGAATTTTCTTTGAAAACGTTGAAGAATGCAGACAGCTGTTTCCAGTAGTTTTTAGCCTAATTTTGGGCTTTATGAAAATTGCTTTATCAGATACTTTAAAAGCCACTCTTGCTTGCACTCCCCCATACTGACACATGAAAGCTGGGTTGGTGTTTTACTGTACATACTTCAGATGCACATAGGAATAGAGGTGTGTTATAAATCTAGCTTTCTTTATGATATTTCTGATAATGAGAATTGAAAACGTTACCTTCTCTTGTACATAGACTTTTATTCATATTAAAGTTACATTTCATTCTAAGTTCAGAAGTTTGAAAGTTACTAGTTTTGCAAGCTCAAACACTTAATTTGACCATTTTATGAAGGTTGAAGTAGATTTATGCAGGCAGTTCTATACATATAAATATAATTCTTACTAAATTTTGAGGACCAATGCAAAAATAACAAAAATGGAATCAGACTAAAATAAGGTTGTATATTGAAAGTCATATTATAAAAAGTTTTCTTCCTTCAAGTGTTATTTATCTTAAATAATTGTTTGGAAAATAATTTTTGAACCTATTAAGTCAATATAACTTCATTCAACTTATCAGTAATCCTGATACTAGAAGCAATAAAGAACGAATATTAAATATATCATAATGTTAAAGATATGAAGGTTCTTCCAAAAACTTTTAAGGTTTTCCTAAGTAAAAGTAATCTCTTATGTTGATATATTGCATACTAAACACAAGTTGCTATGTTTTTTCCCCATGTTTGCTTAAGCATAATCACAGCCTTTAATTGTTGTAGTTTAGTTATTTTCTAAAGGTGCCAAATGAAACACTATTTTTCTTTATTTATTTTAAATAGCTAAAATCTTGTTCTTTTTGTTTTGAGGTATGGTAGGAGTTTGTGAAAATATGGACAGTTTTGCTCCATTGTTGGTTAGAATTCATTTTTTATAGTAGAGGGTGGCTTGGTAATATTAGTAATATTTGGATTTTTGAAACTATCAATCACATCGAGTTTACTATTTGCCTATATTATCAGGGTATATGTATTTATCTGTGGTTGGACAAAAGAGAAAAAGAACTCAGTGGTTACTAGTGGCAAGCATTACATACTCCACTCCTGGAGGCAGCTCTATCCAGCTTTGATTTTTATGCACACTGCCCCATATCTTGGCCAGGTATCTACTCATCTGATTGCACTTCAGCTCCAGTGCCCAGGTAATTGGAAAGTACAATATTTAGTTTGATAGGTTCTGCATAATGAATTTTTCATTATAAAAATGTATTTCCCTTTAACATCATGATACTTTTTCTTTCTGATACATTTTCTACTCTCCTGTTTTTTGGGTTTTTTCTTCCCCTCTCTCAATATAGATTTAACTCCCCAAACATAGAAACTAAGACAATTACTTTTTTCTTCTGGTGTCATATGTGTTTGGAAAAAGGACACTAAAAGTTCAGGCCTAGGAAGAAAGTACCCTGGTGAAAGTTATTTTTATAATTTTTGGCGGGGGGGGGGG